GATAGGAGTATTGTATAGCTTTGTTCTTTTTTTTGTGCCTAATGTCGTAAGATTTGTGACTTTATTACTAGATGCGATGGTTGTAATTAGGTTGAACTTAAAACTACTTTAATTTTTTTGTCTCATTTCTTTAGTAAACAAATGTAGCTGTTTAAGTTTATATTCACGTGGACAGTATTTAGCTATGATTTTGTAAGTGACCCGTTATCTAGTATAGGTATTGTTGATCGAAGTAAAAAACTAAACACGTAAATAAATATAGATAACTTCATAATTCTTCGGATTTACGTAAAAGGTTATTTTAAATCGTGTGTGTACGCTTGTGCAAAGTTATTGCGAAATGATTAATGTCAAACGTCAAAAGGTATTTCTTAGATTTGGTTTACTATAGTTAGATAGAGTTAAGCAAAATAAACTTTTTTGAGATGAATTCTTTTTGCATTAATACATCCATATTTTGTTGCGCTATTATAATTTTATTTTCTCCTTTACAGCAAAGATCTTCCTCCGAAGAGTAAAAATAAAGGAAAACAAGTAATTGTACAGTCAGTTAAACCAAGTGAGCCAAAAGATAAGCCAAAGCAAGAATCGAAACAAAAACCGCAACAGGCAAAGAGAAAGAAGCCTGAAAGTAAGTAAAGAGTATTTATTTAAATTCATTATTATAAACGTTATTTTTATATTAAATATTAGCAACCTGTCCCTGCTTCACCTGGGTGGTGTCTATTAATGTCATAATTTGGATTTAAGATAGTCAATGACCATTTATAACGTGCCTTGGTAAAGACAATGTATTTTTTGCCTTATAAATTCCCAACTAAAAGCCTGTATTTAAAATCTGATATACTAAGTATAAGAAAATTATATATTTTACACACAATATTAAAAAAGCATAAAGGTTTGATTTCGGACCCAAATATTTTGAACAAAAGAAAAAAGACATTGTACTTAATTCATTTTGTGTTAAAACTGCATTCGCTAGATGTCAGTTCATTAACCAATCTATCTATCTGTATAATTTTGTCAACAAAAAGCTTAATATTCGCAGAAAAACCAAGGACTGCAAGTTTTTGACTATAAATTGGCTAAAGACCCTGTCTTACGAAGACACAGAAAAACTGATGTTTCGACACATGGGTGAAAAAAAATCGCAAACACACACACACACACACACACACACACACACACACACACACACACACACACATTTATTTTTGAATATTTTTTTTGTATAATACTGTTACGAGCTTGAGGTTCGTGACAATAAAAATTGCCGATAAAATTACCTAAATTAACACTTTAATTTAGTTCGAGTTTCGACTAGGCGCTGTCGGTTGAGTGATTTGTGATGTCATTTTCTCAATGCTCCCCTCGCTCTCGTTCCTGACACTAGATGGCGCTAGTGTATCGTCGATTTGAGCGCGTAACAATATGTAATCTCATGTCTCTACAATGTTTTTGTATGGCTATGGAAGAGCAGGAGTCTCTCACACAAGTGACTTAAAAGATGTCCCCTACCCTATGCAAATTGTAAAATACCAAAGTGAAGTAAATTATTATTATTATCTATGTATTCAATTTTTCGTAATTTTTCCAATATTTTTTTCTTCAAATATAGTATAACCTAGATCACTCCTGGCATTGCTCTCTGTCTCGGTCAGCTAATCCGAAAATTAGTCTGAAAAGCTTTTTAAAATAGCTATTAATTTTTTATGGCATATAAATAACCCCCCTCGGCTCAATATAAGGCTGTTATTTAGATGTTACAAACATGCATTGCAATTTTAATTAAATGTAAAGATATTTCACTAGTCTTGATTCTAGATTTTGTATCTTGCAAGGGTTGGTTAGGGGCGAGTTAATGTGTCTATGGTCCAATGAGCTATATAATATCTCCCTCCTACACAGTAAATATTTCATTTTTCGAAAGTTGTTGCCTTAGTTGAAACCAGAGATAAATATATCAATAAGAGTGATATTAGGGAATTATGTAATCTTGTTATGATGGAAAGTTTTTGAAAAAGATACAAGTTGTGGATGCATTTAAAAATTAGATAATTCAAAAATAGTTAGCCCTTTAGTGTTGCTATACCCTTGCAGGGCATCACATGTTCCATCATCAATATTGCCCTTCACAAGTCCACTGCTAAACATAGGCCTCCCCCAAGAAATGCCACAAAACACGGTCCTGAGCCACCTGCATCCATCGACTTCCTACATGTATTACGAGGTCGTCACTCCATCTAGTAGGAGGTCACCTTACACTTCGCCTACCGGTACGGGGCTGCCGCTCAAGAACCTTTTTTCCCCATCTGTTGAAGGTTCTTCGAGCTATATGATCGACCAATTGCCAATTTAGGCTATGTCGGTAACTCGGGTTCTACTGCGAATATGCTCATTTCTAAGTATATCACGCAGGGAAACCCCGAGCATAACCCTCTCCATAGCTCGCTGAGTGACCTTGAGCTTCCTCGTACTGAAGTATAATTTACAATCTTAAATTTTATAATGTGACATGCATAAACAATTTGAATTAATAATAAAACAAAATTTGATACAATTTCAGAAGTTGCTGTGCAGTCCAAGAAACCGAAATTTGAGAAGCAGAGTAGTAAGAAGCTTCCCAATAAACAAATTAAGAAAAAATAAAATATACCTTTATTTCCTATCTATGAATGTGTTTCATTAACCCTTATGAAATCATTTGCTTGGGATTGGAGCTTACCGTGCACAAGACACTTATTTATCTATGCAAGTCACTTTTCGGCCGGCCCGCCTAATTTTATACTCGTACCTTATAAATAACATTGAAATAATACTAGTTTTTACGGAATTTATCGCGTATATTTAACTTTTTAAATACCCGACGTTTCGAGAGCTTTACAGCACCCATGGTCACGGGAAGGACTGAGATGTTCAACGTCCAGCTGTCATAGTTAACCGCGGTTACCATAGATTAAAATTTAACTTTTGTTCCGATCTACACAGTATGAACTTATGGTATCATGGAGTCTTGCAGTTGTATGCTTGGGTTGGGATTTAATTTTATTTATTATAGGATCCCAAGCAGATGGTAGCACCCAGCCATCTTCTCTATTGAAATTAGGATGTTTTTTGATTTCAATAGCCTCGCGAATCATCCTTGGAAGGAATCGGTGTTCTTTAGCGAGGATTTGTGGTCTATCAAATCTGATGTAGTGACGGGGGCGATCCTGTACATGTTCACAGACTGCAGACTTCCCGGAGCGTCGATTCTTCACATCAGCTATATGTTCTTTGACGCGGGTTTTAATTGATCTTTTAGTTTGTCCTATGTAGGAGAGACCACATTCACAATCAAGCTTGTACACTCCTGCATCTTGCAGAGGGACGTTACACTTGACTGATGGTAAAAACTGACCAATCTTCTTCGGCGGCTTGAAGTATGTTTTGATGGAAGCGCGCTTCAAGATGTAGCCAATCTTGTCAGTGACTCCTCTAACATATGGCAGTACAGCAGGTACACGCTCGACTGTGGCCGGCTTCACTCGTTCTCTGTGACGTAGGCGCGGGACCCGAAGCTTGTTGTCATGCAAAACTTGCTTGACATGTTGGAGCTCGGCAGCCAGGTGTTTACTGTCACAGATCCCTCGTGCTCTCTGAAACAAAGATTTACCCACGGTAGCTAACTGTGAAGGATGGTGGTGAGAATCACCGTTTAAATATCTATCTGTATGGGTCTTTTTTTCAATACACAGTATGGCTCAAGGTGTTATCAGGATTCCGAATTACTAACATCTAGAAAAGCTAAGGAATTGTTTGCCTCTAACTCCATTGTGAACTGAATTTTAGAATTTATAGAGTTAAGATGGTCTAAAAATGCAGTTACTTTATCTAAAGGTAGAATTGTGAAAGTGTCGTCTACGTACCGCTTGTAGAATCTTTATTATTATATATATAGATTTATGGGATATTATATTATATATATAGATTTATGGGAGAAGTAAGCAGGGCTTTCTCCTCAAAGTCTTCCATGAATATGTCGGCGACAATGGGAGATACAGGTGAGACCATCGCCACACCATCTACTTGCTTGTAGAACTCCTCCTTCCACAATAGGTAGCCAGATGTAAGGCAGTGTCTGAGTAATACTGCATATTCTACGGACATGTTGTTTTCTTCCAGCCTTCTAGTTACAATTGAGATGCAGTCTTCAACAGGTAAGCATGTAAACAACGACTGCACATCAAAACTGACCATAGTTTCATTGTCTGCCAGACGTAGGTCTTTAATCTCGCTGACAAAATGGTAGGAATCCTTTATGTGTGCTCTTGTTTGTCCCCTGAGCGGTGAGAGTATTTTCGTTAAGGGTTGAGCCAATCTGTAATTTGGTGAATCGATTTGGCTCACTATGGGGCGTAATGGAGCATTGGGCTTGTGTATTTTTGGTAACCCATACAACTTTGGTGACTGCCATATGTTAGAGGAGTCACTGACAAGATTGGCTACATCTTGAAGCGCGCTTCCATCAAAACATACTTCAAGCCGCCGAAGAAGATTGGTCAGTTTTTACCATCAGTCAAGTGTAACGTCCCTCTGCAAGATGCAGGAGTGTACAAGCGTGAATGTGGTCTCTCCTACATAGGACAAACTAAAAGATCAATTGAGTATTCCACTTGCAAACCACTCTAAGTTAAAAAATAGTATTTTTTTGCAATGGCGGCCATTGTATTTGAAATTTAAAAACTGTTACTCTACATTTATCATACTATTTCAAAACTCGCTACATTACGAATAATTTGAGGCTAAATATGGTATACTCTTGCAAAAGTCGCCATGATATTTGACAGTTCACTTTCAAAACTGTCTAAGTTACTATTCACTTGCAAATGTCGCCAAGACGCCAACGTATTCGTGCAGATGCCGCCATCTTGTCTACCAGTACGCTTGATGCTGTTAATGTGCACGTACGTGTCTACTGTCAACGAAATAAAAGTTCTTTATAAATTTTGTGTTCTAAAATGGAATTTCAAGTAAAAGAAGTTATTCTAGCACCTGATAGACGAGGACGTAAGAAAATATCCGATAAATCTACTTGGAAGAGAGAAATTGAAAAATCAAAACGGTAAGTTACAGTTTTATATTTCGGTTATCTTTTAATAAATAAATGAATTTATCTTAGAAAATTTATTTATTTATTTTATTCAAGGTGTACTTAGATTTAAATTTCTGTAAATAACTAACACTAGGGTAAGTCTCTATACATTACTAACACGCTATGGATGTATAGTCCGAAATAAATGTATTTGAATTTGAATAGTTTGAAAACCATTATTGGCGAACTCTTAAATTTGTCTGATTTTATTGAACAAGTAGTTTATTTTTTACTGTTTTGTTGCAGATATGTGGCTAAAGGACCTCCAAAAATACCACAATGAGTACATAGAAATTTAAAACAGGGTTATAAATGTAACGAGTTGACGACTCAAGACTATAGTAAGTTTTACAGACATTTTTATGCATCTTCAAACAAAATTACTTTAGTGTTGCACAGCTCAAACTCCAAAAAAAGAAGGCAAAAAAAACTCAAACAATATGTTATTTATTCCAAAGTACGAATCAACTGTCGGCGGTAAACGCTCCATCAAATTAAAAAAGTATGCCAAAAAGCAATGACCACACTTTTAGGAATATCTAAAGACAGAATACAAGGAATTTGCAAAAGACATTTAACTACTACGGAACTGCCGAAAGAAAGAAGAGGTGGTGATAGAAGATCTTCACAGTATTCAGGTCGTACAGAATCTGTTAAGTCATTTATAAAGAGTCTTAAATCCATAGAATCACACTATACGAGAGGAAGGTCTACTGTACAATACCTGAGCAGTGACCTTAATATAAAAAAATTACACAAACTTTATAACAATGAAGCACAAAATGTGCCGGTAAAATACGAATTTTTTCGGAGAATATTTACAAAATTTTTTAATTTAAGTTTTAAGACACCGGCTACTGACGATTGCTCTAAGTGCATTCAATTAAAAGAGAATATCAAAAGTGAAAATGATCTAGCTAAAAAACAGATGTTGATAGCGCAGCTTAGGATTCACAGGTTAAAGGCCAAAACTTTTTATACTAGTCTCAAGACGCAAAATGACAATGAAATTATATTATCCGTTATTAATTATTGATTGTCAAAAGAATCAGGTTCTACCAAAAGTGCCGGATCAAAGTGCCTACTTTAGCCGACAACTGTATGCATACAATCTAACCATCTGCCAAGGGCCATCTTGTAGCCCTAAAAATTATTCAAATAACTTTATATACACGTGGCTCGAAACCGAGGCTTTAAAAGCATCCAATCAGATTGCATCAGCATTATTTCACAGGCTGTTAAATACCACTTTTGATAGCAGTATTGAACATATAAAATTATTTTGTGATGGTTGTGGGGGCCAAAATAAAAATTCCATAGTTTTGGGAATGTTGGCATATTGGTTTAAAACAAAAGCTCCAAATCAAATTAAAAAAAATAACTATTATATTTCCGATAGTTGGGCATTCCTTTTTGCCACCCGACCGTATATTTGGAAATATCGAAAGAGAGATACGCCCTTTAGAGGTGATTGCGGAACCCGAGGTTTATTTTGATATTTTCAAAAGATATGGTAAAGTTATTAGACTTGGAAGTGACTTCCAGTTTTATGATTGGAAGTTCTATGATATTCAGTACATTTGTAACAAGCGTTACAAATGTACTGAAATTACCAGGATCTTGGCATTTCAAATTTAATGCTTCTAACAGATTTTTCCTGAGAAAGGATAAGAATAATAAAATTGGAATCAAAGAGGAACCTAATTATGTATCTGAAGTGGTCAACTATGGGAATGTTTGTAAAAGAGGAAAGTCTTATGAAAATATTAAACCTACGTTGATGAATATTGGAGTTCCTGTAAAAACAGAAAAATTAAATGACGTCAGAAAACTATTGATTAAACATTTCGAAGAAGACTGGATTACTATTGAAAATCTTCAATATTATAAGTTTTTACAAGAAGAAGAAAATGAAAGTAATTTAATAGAAACTGACTCTGAAGAAACTCTAATGGAAGATGAAATAGATATAAGAGTGTTATTAAAATTATTAATAACTTAGTTTTAAGACATAAGTGAAAAACTGATTCAAAACTGTCTGTGTTAATTCCATACAACTGCAAAAATGTTTATGTTACGAATACTTTTGCAGAACTTGCTATCTTCAATTTTAATATTCAAATTAAAAGATTAATGTTATACCGTGATTTTATTTTTTATAATAAAATAATTCTAAATAATACCACTTAAGCGTATACTAAAGTAACATTATTTTCTTAACTTACTTTGACAGATATAATGTTTTAATTAATTTTCTTAATTCATTAGTCAATCAATATAACGCATTTTGCAAGTGGACTACTCAATTAAAACCCGTGTCAAAGAACATATAGCTGATGTGAAGAATCGACGCTCCGGGAAGTCTGCAGTCTGTGAACATGTACAGGATCGCCCCCGTCACTACATCAGATTTGATAGACCACAAAAAGCTCGCTTCCTCGCTAAAGAACACCGATTCCTTCCAAGGATGATTCGCGAGGCTATTGAAATCAAAAAACATCCTAATTTCAATAGAGAAGATGGCTGGGTGCTACCATCTGCTTGGGATCCTATAAGAAATAAAATTAAATCCCAACCCAAGCATACAACTGCAAGACTCCATGATACCATAAGTTCATACTGTGTAGATCGGAACAAAAGTTAGATTTTAATCTATGGTAACCGCGGTTAACTATGACAGCTGGACGTTGAACATCTCAGTCCTTCCCGTGACCATGGGTGCTGTAAAGCTCTCGAAACGTCGGGTATTTAAAAAGTTAAATATACGCGATAAATTCCGTAAAAACTAGTATTATTTCAATGTGTAGTGTTCGCGTAAATATAAGAAATCATTATAAATAACACTTCTACTTTTCGCAAGAAAGATCTCACCGTCTCCGATAGACGGGCAGTAAAACAATATCATATACGTCAGATATAAATATAGATGGATTAATATTAAGTCTATGAATATAAATGAAGTGCCCGCTGTAAAAAAAAGTCGCGAGCTACCCAGGTTCGATTCCCGCCAGCATTTCTACAATTAATAATTTTAAGTGCTAATTTACTACGTGCTCGTTCAGTGGTAAAGTAAAACATCATGAGGAAACCGGCGTGTATGAGAAATTAAAAAAAATATATTTCAACGGTGTGAAATTCGCCAACAAGTAATGGGATAAGGGCGTTATCACACTGGTGATTTGCAAGTGAGGCGAGCTCACAGTGAGTTTGCGGCTAGCACGTCACGAAGAAACCGCGCAACAGAATAAAAATATTGAGAGGTTCAAACGCCGTTAGTACAATGGATACGGCGCTATTCGTGCGGTCTATTATTTATACTGTGGCGCGGTGGTCTCGCCGCGCGCTCGCTGCGTACCCACCTCTCTTTGAACTCTTGCAAATCACCATTGTGATACAGCTCCAAGGCGTGTAGCAGACGTTTCCTTGCCCTAAAACTCATAAGTGGGACGTATATTACATTAGGCTTAACCGAGTGCTTTACCTAGAATCCGGTTTGGCACTACCCTCTTACCGACCGCTGCTAGCTCCATCATTCTGTCTAGGCAGCAATGAATAAACCATGTTCCTTAAAAGCTATTGTAATAAGCTGTAAGCATTCTATATAATGCTCAGGGTTGACAACACAAATATTACTTGGAACATTACGGGCTAATGTCGCAATTTTCGATGAAGGTATTCACTTATGTAATAGACATATTATGAACGCATTGATTCGGTTTTTATTATTGAAGAAACAATTGAAGTAGTGACGATGCAAACATGTAGATTTCTTAAATGATGCGATAATATTTAAAACAGAGAAAAGAGCGTTTAAGACGAGGTTTAAGCACGATTTCAAATTCTTTGTTTACCCGCGCGTCCCGCAGTGGGCGGAGCGTAACCGCCATCAGAGAGCGCACCGTGACACAGTATACGCAAAACAAGCAGACAATTCAACTCCAAATAAAAACTTCCTGTTCTCAAAACTACTAAGTAGTAATAATATTTTGACTACCTACTCATTAATATCAAAACTGTTTACGAGGTCTGGACATCAGACTAAATTTTAATTATCAATATTTTTTTAAGTCAGTTTTATGATATAAGCAGGCAGGACTTAGTCAACTATTTACATATACATTTAAAACGCCAACTCAAAAATTCTAGAAAATCCCAAGTTTCGTTGGCTAAAATAGCTAAAATAAAAGAAAAAGGATAGTTTAAAATAACAATGAACGTTTCGGAAGATACCCCTCGATAACAGAAAATTATGATGATGTACCTAAAGAAATGAAAATCTGCGAGTTCTTTTTCGTGTTTAGGTATAGTAGTATCCGATTGTAGTGCAGGACTTAAAACTGTAATTTTAGATACCATAAAAGACATATTCTTTTATGGTATTTGATTATTCCAAATGTAGAGGGCAAGGTTACGATGGAGCAAATGTCGTGTCGGTTGTATATGTAGGATTACAAAACCTTATAAAACAGCATGCCCCAAATGCCGATTGTTCTTCGTGCGGCTTACACGATGCTATGTAATGTGTTCCTGAAGTGTCACATTCGGAACGAGTGTTCATCTATCTACCCTAGATCACAGAATAAATAATAATAATTTAATAATCTTTATTGATAAACATATTACATGCACAAAATTTACAGTGGTTATTAGCCCCTAAACTAGGTCTTATTACTAACTATTTTTTATTATTAACTAGGCATTATAACTGTATTTCAGGGGCTCAATAAATAGTTAGGCTAGTAATAATAGTTGCCTAGACGGACTGGATAATCGGAATTCATATATATATATATATATATATATATATATATATATATATATATATATATATATATATATATATATATATATATATATATATATATATATATATACATCACGATATTGATTCTACGTCCTTTCATTTCGCATTATTATAGCGTCCACCACTTGTAGGCAATTTTTGAAAACTATGACAGCGTATATTGGTCCATTAAACAAATTCAAAGATAGTGTTCAACTCATTTTTTTGAATATTTAGTATATGTCGATATACAAATATACGTATATTGCCAGACGGAGGGAAACCAATCGGGACTCCCTTCCATATTACCAATTATTCAGAATCCCCGTAATATACATAGTTTTTAATTCATTCTCCTGCTTATCGCAAATCCTTTGTATAGTGCGACGTTGCCACTCTTATTAGTTATTCTGTTTTGTAATATTTTATTTATAGGTGATATTTTGTTTAATGTAGAACTATAAAATTTATTGAATATAACCGCAAAATTTTAATTGACTATATAATTTAATCTTAACACTTAATGTGAATTATTATGATGTTAGTGATAAGAATAAGATTATTTTATGTTAATATAATTATCAGAAATTTTCATTTTAATAATAAAATAAAAAATATTTTGTATTTAATTATTACTTTTCACACCGGCAGGAAGAATATTGCAGTATTTTTGTTAAATTGTTAAGACCTATTGTAACCCATATATTGCCAACGAATAAATGAACTTGAATTTAAATTTGAATTTCTCTACACTCACCATACAAAACACAGCAGCGATTTTACTCTGGCATTCTGTGAGAACGTAGTGCTTCCCCGGTCGAGTCGAATCATCTTTACGTCAAATTAAAAATATATTTGATTCGTTTAGCACGAATAATATAGTTTTTATCATTCTGGTTCAGATTAGATTTAATTTTAGTCACTTAAGTTTCGTATATTGTGCAAAATAATGAAATAAATGTACAGAATGTGCAATGTGAAATTGAGAAAATATAATTTTTGTCTACGGCAAAAAAAAAATAGACTATGTATCATGATTAATTTACCAACTAGTTATTCGTTGAGTCAATACAAAAAATATCAAAAATTGCCGAGCCGTGATAAATTATAGATTGAATATATTATTATTTACTTTAATTGTAAATACGTACTGATGTAAAATGAAACAAATATTGAGATCAAATAAAACGTTTATTGAACAAGCATCTTCTTTCAAACATTTGTTCAACGAAGTAGATACTTAGAATAAAGATTTATAATAAGGAACATAATTAACACAATTTGGCACTTGAAATAACATAGGTAGTAATTTAGAGCAAAACTTTTGACGCACACAGTGCCCCAAAAACCGCTACAAACGGCAAGATTAATTAAAAAAGAAATAAGAAAGGTGTTCTAAGCGTTTTATCATTTCTAGAATTGTGTAATGTGAAAAAACTGTTCTAGAAAAGTGACTATTTTACACCGCATGGCATCCCTACACTGAAATATAAAAACAATAGCGAAAAATGTCATTAAAGCAATGGTCATTAAAGTGTGTTTTATACACAAGGAATTAAAATATAAATATATTCATGGTTATATGGACGTCAAATATCGTGCGGTATGAAACTTTACCGATAATCTGACGTCCACATATAAAAATATAACAAAATTCAAAAGTATGGACGTTAAATATCATTCTGTACGAATGTTTTAGGATATTCGAACGTCCGTATTATTATATGTAGCTAAATCTAAGGACACGTAAAGAAATTTGAAAGTAAAAATAGCACTGAGTACAGTATAAACCGACAAAAAATACCAAAATATACCTTGAGCACTAAATAAATAAGTAATCAACATAAATAAATAGTAAAATGCAATAATCAACAACATTGGACATCAGATATCAAAGAAATGGATGTCAAATAAAACTTTGTGAGAATATTTTAGGATATTCTTACGGCCGTATATGGGTAAATACTTAACTATACATTAATCAACTTAAACAAGTTTAACTAAGGAAACTTAAATGCAAACAAACGAGCGTGGAAAGTTCTTAATGTGCGTAGGTCACAGTACGGACGCCAAATAAAGCACGATATGCATGTTTTTTAGTAATATAGCGTCCAATATGAATAAAAATTATAATTGTATTTCAACTAAATGCAAAACCAAACATATCATAATTTAACAAAAATAGCCTTTCACAAAATAAAATCAAGTTAATTAGATAGTAATTTCTTACAGATTAGGTACAATAGTCGCACTCATCCTTAAGATAGTGATCATAAACAGTAAACTCGCAGTGAGAGCACCAAAACTCAACACGATCAAGTAAATAAATTATATTTTCGGAGTTATTCATGTCAGCAAAATTATGCCACGGTCTGTTGTAGGAATTAACAAATCTTTGGCAACTAATCCAGTAAAACCTTTTATTAAAATGAATTTCTTCCCAAGGCCATATTAGGTTATTAGTCAGAATATAACAAAACAAACTTCTATTTAAAAACCTGTCAATATCTACAATTAACTCCATCTTTTTGTACTCAATCAGAAGGTAATTTATACTCAAACAGAATTATGGGTTGCTTACGACATAACAAAAGTTCTTATAGGCAGTTTAGTACTGTACAGCACATAAATGTAAAATGTAAAAATATAGTGCAGCATGACGTAAACCGATAATATAAGTTACTGAGATCCCTTCATCAGCTATGAAAAAAAGCTTATGACCTTAAGACCGCACCCAAATCGGTTCACCTCTTTAGGAGCTACGGTGTCACAGACAGGCAGCCACACAGACAAACATTCACGTAAAACTTATAACAATCCTCTTTTTACGTCTATTATTCATGGATCCAATCAATCATTAAATTCGATAAGGTTGGACTAAGAGAGCGAGATGGAATTTTGACAACCAGCAATGTTTTAAAAACAAAATACGAAACTAAACAAAAATACCACAGTAATTCGTAGGAGAATTCCCGAATATGGCTATTTGTTGTTTGTATAGGCATTTTGGACGAAGACTTTTATTTTTAACCAGTCTTTGTTGTGCAGAATTTCAGTATGTTGACTACGAAGTTCCTCGCACTCATGGCGTTTTGGCGGTTGTTTATTTTTAATATGTTTGCTAAAAAACTTTTTAACTATACTTTTCTGTTCTGTGGTCCAAGGAACAAGGTTTCGTTTTTTCTTTGTTTTAATATGTGTAGCATTGGTAGCATCGCTAAGTAGAGTTGACTGCGGAGTAAGGACAGGGTTATCGTCTGTGAACTCCGTTTCTTTTGATTTTTCAGTTGGTAATGCAGCATCGTAATCTATTAATTCATCACTGTCGTAATTATCGTGGCCCTGTGCGTTTTCTAGTAAATCTTGTTCTAAATCTAAGTTTATGTCATCCAAACATTTGCCTCTATAAGAGTCTGCTTTGCCACTCTCCATGAGCAGCAGTAGTTTTGATAGTTTGGCCGTCTGATACACGTCATCGGGTAATCTATAGTTTTGTCTGTGGACAGCCTGTGTGTGCCCCATAAAGTTAGCTAGTTGTTCAATGTCTGATTCTTTAAGGTTAAACATCTGAGTCAACGTAGCCAAATGTTTGCGTAGCTTAGTCGTAGTAATAGCTGCAGGATTTCGAGCTCCACTTGCAGTGGCATACTTTTTCAAGACCTTATAACCACATAATGTACTTTCAGATCCGGGTTTTGCAAACAAAAAGTCGTTTTTTTCACATATGTAATTACGTCTCACAGAGATAAGCAAATTGATGTCACTTTGGACTTCGTCAGTCAACAGAACGGGCACACCTCGACCTCTTTTACCCCGTATAACAATACGCTTAAAACTATTTACCAACACTTTTTCCGCACTTGAAATAGCTCGGTCAAATTCCTCATATGCGCTTTTGTCATTGCTGCTCTCTTGGTAGATGCTGAGTGGGAGACGTTGCAGTTCACCAGGCCGACGTCTGTTGAGAAGAAGAACGCGGCAGTAAACTGTCTCTGTTAGAGTGTTGTACGCTTCAATATTGCTAGTTTCGGATTCTATTAACTTAGATGCTGCAGACTTAGATTTTTCGCAAAGATAATTTTTAAGGAGTTTTAAGTCTTTCGCAAGAGGAACAATTGTAATTTTATTCCATTTTTTTAAGTTTAAGTCATTGCAGGCCTGGCTTGAAACATCAAACTTCCAATTAGTCTTGATGAGATGAATTAGCGTCTTTAGATCAGCCTCTACTGCAGCAGTTTCCACACTGCTGCCTGATTTTAATGTAGTCATTATGGCTATGTTGCAACACTGTTTTAGGCTAGTGCTGATGTTCATGGCATATGTTGGAGCACCATAGCGATCTGTTTTACAATTGTAACTTGATACTTTTTTAGTTGCAGTAACAATTAGATCATAGTTTTGAGGTTTCAAACAATCCATCAAATTTTTAAGTGACGGTTTCAGCGTCTTCAATTCTAGTAACAATTTAGCCAATTCTCTCATTTTTCCAATCCTTAAATATTGGGCTCCAAACGCAAAGATTAACGTGTCTCTTTTAGCTTCTAGTGATATTTTGTCAGGTCTCATTTTTGGAAATACCTCATCTTTAAGTTTTTTGTCAATATTTAGGTTGCGTAACATAAAATTTTGAGACTGAACTTCAGTGTTGGCGGTATCGGATAACGGTTGACATGTCTTCTTATGTTTCCACAATTGTTTCATAGAGTAGAAGCCTAAACATTTTTCACATGGTAAGTAATCGATGTGTGGATAAACATTACTCTTTTTCATAGGTTTAACACATTTTATAACATTCCGAATATAGTTTCCTCTTTTGCGTAAGTTGGTTATTAGGTTTTTGCGTACGCAACTTTTCGTAGGATGAGAGATAATATTTTGTACTTCGGGTTCCGTACAATGATTCCGCAATAGATGTCTCGCAAAATTTAGCACATCGACCTCACAAAAAAAACAATAATCCCTGGCTCTGGTTCTTTTCAACTCTTTCGTCTTTTGGCAACTTGTCAAATCCTAAAAGAGAACATTTCAATGAATTACAGAATAAATTTGCTTTATGAATTATCAACATTTTCACATCTGGTAACGTTCTGTAATTCTTGCCGCACGATAACATACGGTACAGTAACGTGCATTAATTACAGGACGTTACCGGAATGTCTCAAGAAGCATTTAGGCTCTCGTGATTGTATTTTGTTACAATAAGTGTCTAGAGGGATAGGCATTCTAAAATTAAAGGTGAGGCATCCTTTTTAGTCACAAATTAAATAGTTATCTCCCTAAGAATCCTCAAAATTAATATTTATGCCCAACATTTTTTTAACAACATGAACATTGTACAGTTTTAATTGATTTGAATAAAAAAATCAGAAAGTTATCTTCAAGATTTGATGTGAAACAAAAAAAAGAAATATTTCTGTCGCGTAGCGAAACTAAAGCTTCATATTCCTGATTTATGTTCATATTGTGAAATAAATATATTCATGAGCATACAATGTTGATTATTGCAGCTTCATGGTTTCAGAATTTAAGTAATAAAGAAAAGATCTCACCTGGGGTTCCCCTAAGCTACGACGTCTAAGACACAATTGCTGATTTTGATGTGTCTTATTCAATACTTCTTCCGTTTCTTCAGTATAACTTGTGATACTGGAGGATTTCTCGAATGCAGAAATGTACGTTGGATCTTTGTCAGAGTCGTCAAACTCAGAGCTATTGTCATTAGAAAAATTAGGAATGCCATCATTGGAAGCGCCACCTGACGTAGTAGGTACTGAGTCTTGTATCTGAGTGGTATGGTCTTGTGATAATGATTGGCTTGTTATTGTGTGATTTTTTGTGAGATTACATTCATTAGGATTACTTAGTGTTACATGCATTTGGTACGGAGATTGTTCCAATACGTTTGATAAGGACTGGTTAGTTATAGTAAGACACGATTGACCACTTTCACTATGCATTGGGTTCTGAGGTTGTTCCAACACATTTAAATAATCAGAATTTCGGATAACTGAATTATTACTGTTATCAGCCAGAATGTTTGCGTTCGCTTCGATAATAACGTTGCTGTCAGCATCTAGCAGAGGAGGACTAGAAGTTGCAACTGAATCTGACAACAAAGTATTCCGCGGTGTCTCGATGTCAGTCATTGGTCTTTGATCTGGCAAGCATGTTTCGTTATAGTTCGAATCCGAGTCATCAGCATCATTCGTTATATCATCCATCAGAGTATCCGTCAAGTCGTTATTTAAATTTGAACTATTTGCAGTATCGTCGTCCGTAGACGGTAGATATGTTTCATCCCTATGTTTCTCATTATCAATTATATCAAATGAATCATCAATGCTAGTATTTGGCGGTGCGTATGATGGGAGATTACGTCTGGATCTCTGTAAAATAAAATAAATTAGACAATGAGACATCACACACATCGATCTGATGCCGAGATAATGTAGTGTATGTAGGTATATACACGATAGCCTAAGATAGATTCGACAGTAATAAATCTACATTCAAGATCATTATACGCTTCATTTATTCCCCGAACCTCCCATTTATTTATTATATGGACAACAAAACAGATAACAATCAAAATACATTAAAAATTATACATATACATATAACAGTTTTGTGCCAGATTGTTTTTCTAAGTATGTTGACACATCATTTTCATATTTTACTACAGGGAAGATCAAATCTACGCTTAACAATATAAACAATATTAATGCCGTACATTATTACATAACACAAAAAAAATTTACAAGCAACAAATTTAAAATCTATGTGATATGTGAAGGAGTGTGTATGACTTTAAGCTCTTTTTACTGCTCTTTTGAATATCCTTGATCTTGGGTCAAAAATATCCAAGCCGGAGTCTTTCATGGATATCTCGTTGTAAAGTCGACACATTCTTATTATCGGGTTGTAAAAAGAAGTATTATTCTTGTAAGTCTGCAGGTAAAATGTCTTGCTAGGAATTCGGGGATTGCGCTTTGTAATTAAGTTTAATTTACTTAAGAGGTAACCGGAATCGATCTCATTGTGGAGAATTTTATGTAAATATATAAGGTCATATTCCTTACGGCGAATAAGTAAAGAGGTCATTTTAAATTTGTCGAGTCTCTCACTATAACCGACAAGACTGCGACCAAGACCACATTTGTAGCTAAGTATTCTAAGGGTTCTTTTTTGGACGCTTTCTATACTATCCGAATGCACCGTGTAGCAGGGAGACCATTATAACATTAAGTAGCTTAAGCACTTGTGTTACGGAAATCAGAATCAACGAAGCTATTACAAATAAATACATAATAAATATATTACACCCAGATACAGAACAAACACAATGTTCATCACTAAGTGTTTGTCCTGGGCGGGGATCGAACCCACGACCCCTGGCTCAGAAGGTAAGAGACTACCCTTGGTCCAACGGGCCAGTAAGTATAACATTTATGTACCTTTTAGAAAAGCGTATGACCATAAATAAAAATAGGCTACTTACTAATGACATTCTTCTTAGATTCACGTAATAAGAAGCATCCCTTTGTTTTCGAGATTCAGTTGGAGTTGTAGCATCTGAAATAATCTATTAGATTAGGTATATAGTTTGTTGCCAAAAGAATAAATAAATATGCTATCGGTAATCTGTATAAACCGAGATTATATACCCAGGCAATGTACAACATACCTAAAAGGTAAACTGAAATATTATTCATTTTGTACTTTGCCTAGGTAGATCGGTACTGGCTTCATTTGACAGATGGATGTGACACAAATCGCCTCACCTCAGGCACATATTCCTTATATCGGTTTTTTGCACATGTACATTTTATGTGTATTTACTTTGCAAAATTCATAAATCAAAATGCAAAGCGTGTAACGTTGCGTTATGTTTCAACCTAGAGCAAGATTGCTGCTACTTTTTTTTTACTTTAGAAGTATAGTTGTAGCACGAATGGGTCGGCTCGACCGGGGAAGGACCACGCTCTCACAGAATACCAGCGTGAAATAGTAGCTTAATGCTGCTGTATTTCGTATGGTGAGTGTAGAGAACCGGAGACCCTTTTTTACTGAAAACGAGGCATTCCATCTTAGTCCTCACGGGTGACAACGCATCTGCATTTTGATTCGTAATGGAGGATAGATGTGGATGTCTATGGGCCACAGCAACCACTTACCATCAGGTGGACTGTGTGCTCGTTTGCAACCCTATCCTATAAAAAAAATACTAACAGTACCATTCGTAAATGAATAGTACTGTAGATACAGTAAATCCAACAAAAGTACCAGGAGCCTTTTAAAGAAATGAGGAGCCATGTTATATATTTATTCAACTAACTATAATTTATTCAGCTAATTATTTCAGACTATCATCGTTGAAATAGTTAAGTTGGTTAAGTTACAGCCTATTTACGTCCCACAGCCGGGCCTTCCCTCACTTCTGAGAGGGTTTTAGGGCAAAGAAGTGCCGGCTGAGCTACCCCTATGCGTGTTGGCGAACTTCATGGCGAAAAAAATATGTCCTCGAAATATTTTTTTCTTATTTCTCAGACAGTCCGACCTCCTCACGATGTTTTCTTTCACCGCTCAGCACGTGGTAGATCAGCACTTAAAATTGCAATTAACAATTTCATTGATGCCAGCGGGGATGCACCCGGTTTGCGAGCGTACTGTGAAATTACGAACGAAACGACGAGAGCCGTGGTGGCTCTTCCGAGCCACCACGGCTCTCGTCGTTGAAACGAATACACCTTTTTATTTTGTATGTTTTTTTTTCTCTATAGGATAGGGTGACAAACGAGCACACAGATTGTGAGTAGTTGCTGCGGCCCATAGATATCTTCATCTCACTCATCTCACCCTCGATTACAAATCAAAATACAGATGCGTTGTCACCCGTGAGGACTAAAACGGAATGCCTCATTTCCAGTAAAAACTGTCTCCGGTTCTCTACACTCACCATACGAAACACAGCCAGCATTAAGCTAATATTTCACGCTGGTATTCTGTGAGAGCGTGGTCCTTCCCCGGTCGAGCCGAAGTATTCGTGCTGCAACTATACTACTAATATAACTGCAGCATGGCTCTACCACGTATAAAAAATGTTTTAATGAACTAGGAAAAAAATCGGACTTTAATTGTGGCATATTTTTGGAGCTTAAGAAGTGGGTTCTTTAAAATATATATCCATAATATATTTTTTATTTCAGGAAGAGATATTTTTATTTTAAATTTTATTATTTCGTAGATATTATTTGTGTTGAAGGAAATATGTTGATTATTTTGGTAATTGGAAATGTAAAATAACCGCCGCGCACCTTGCGCCGCCTTTGAACGGCTTTGTCACTCGACACTATTATGGTCGAGTATTGTTTACAAAAACCGTTATTTTAGACTGTACATCGGCACCTTTAATGGTTTTATGGCTTTTAAGGGAATGAATGAACCTTTATTTTTCTACAAGCGCTGTTGAAAATTGTTTGTTCAAATATGTAAAGTAATAAATTTTTTTAAAAATATGGCATTTACGGCTAAAATTTTGATTACTTACAAAGTACATTAAGAGTACTTATGAAATACTTTGTGAGATTTGTAAAACTTAGCAAGATCTATTTAAAGATGACTGAATCATGTAAGGAAAAAGAGAGTTTCAACTAGTCCTGGAAAAAAAACCACATGCTTCTTCATGAATTTAAGTATATATTTTTAAAGAAATAAAAAAATACTATTTTTATTGACTAACGCATGCCGCTCTGGTCCGAACTACATTCTAAATCGGTGTAAGTTGGTTGTGGGTTCTTGTAAGCTTATTATTAATGCGTTTTATGATGAAAAATTGTATTGTAGCCTATGATTTTGCACACAAAATATTGTAAACAATAGATTTAAGTTTAAAATTAAACAAAATTGAACTATTAAAAAACTTTGTTTCATCGAGAAATATGACAATTTTGACTTTACTCAGTATTTACTTACACTAATTACTTTAGGACTTTATTAAATTTATGTACTCTTTTATAGGAAATTTCATAGAGAATTCAGAAATGTATATATATAATTGTATATGATATACCAAATTCAAGAAATTTGCGTTTAAACGGATTGCGCCCAATGCGCCGTTAATTTTATTAAACAGCTCCGCAGTCAATGGAGTATGACGGTTAGAGTCAACGCAGTTGAAAGACTAAGTTACTTAAGTCACCAGACACCAGACACAATGTGGGTTTAATAGGTAATTAGGAGTAGTACATTGTACATGTTGTATTATATATGTATAAGTGCAATTGTATTATGTTTTTTTTTTAACATAACACTGGCTAATATAGACCAAAATAATTTAATAAATTGACAATCCAATATACGGATGTCGGAAGCAAATAAGACGCCACATTATATACAAAAATGGATATAGTGGACGTACAATAAGTTACGGGATATCAATAACGTACGTCGTAAATATATTTTAGACGAACGGACGTACCTACTTTTGAATAATATACTTATAGATAATTATTTTCTTATAGGAGTATACTTTTTTTATTAAAAATACAGTAAGCAGCATATTCGGCTTGAATTCACTTCTAAATTACATAAAATTCTAGACTTCGATATTTTGAACTTTGAGTTTCAGTATCTATCTGTAGGCTTAAATCAACCTATTTAGAATATTTATTCAAGGTTTCAAAAAACCGTCATCTTTCTAGCACAGTTATAAGTCCCCTCAGATTATTTTTACAAATTTTTAAAAATGATCTAGACGCCACGTTTTTTAAAAATTAACTAATGAACAAAATTTGAAAGAAGCCTGACTTTCAAAATAAAAGATATAGATATAGCATTTCACTCCTCCTTGCCCTTGTTTTCCGCAAAAGTATCTTAAAAGTATTTTGTTCTTGACTTGACTTGTGAATTTCGACAAGAGAAAAAGTTTATTAATCATTAAAGTATATAAAAAGAAAACTCTTTCTATTAAAAGTGGTGGAACATTAAGGTCCGATCCTCATTATAATGCCGCTCACAGTTCATTAACGATCAGATTTCGGTCTGTTAAAATATTATCAAGTAAAAAATATGTGTGTGCATTCATACTATCCGTAACAGTCAAGTTTCGGTCAAATCCCATTCCATTATAATAAGTCAGACCGAGAGCGGACCGAGAACGAACTGTGAACGGCAAATGAGGATCGACCCTAAAAGCACTTTATTTTTTATTTCAGAGTGTAAGGTGTAAGTAAGTACCTACTATAAATACCTAACTAACATCTTTATTGTATAAGCAGTTAGCATGGGCGTTTTCAGTTCTTATCTGCAACGGTTACGTAACCGATATCTAGTTTTCATATCGTTATTGAAAACCGTTTTCAGATATCGATATCAATAGTAATGGTTT